AAAAAAAACACTTGGGCCATTTTGGCCTTGGGGCAGTTTGGCCTTGGAGGACTATGCGCCAAATGGTAAGGATTGCGTGATGTTGGTGAAGGAGCTTGTTAGCAGCGATTGCCTATCACAGCAGCCTCTGGTCATTCTTCCACATGACTACCTTCCCCGTCTTTGTCAACCCTTGGCAGGTATGCCCAGAACAGTTCTTGCTGATAGAGCCAGGAAGGAGTTGCCTGCCAATGGTTTGGTGTATCTTTCTTTCACCCTTTCCACTGGAAAAGGAAAGTCCCATTTAAAGGCCTACTGATCAGTGGTTTGCCATGAGTTGAAATGGCTAGGTCTCACCTGGCCATTCCGGTTTCCCATAGTACACTAACACATATGACATTACAATCTGACCCAAGGACAACTACCTGCTGCTCTTATGTTTGTGTCGTTTAGTTTGGACCCAATAGCCTAGGTTTCTGAAAACAGCTGCTGCTGTTGAAGCAGAGCCATGGAATCTTACCAGGGCTGCTGCGGCATTGAGAGACTGGGTGGATACTTGGCTGATCAACCCACTTGTTTTGGGCATCATTGCTATGAAATGGTGTTTTTCCAACAATCAAACAAAACAGGATGATTTTTGATTTCATGTCACAACTTCCTGCCCAGGAGTCAAATGAAAAGCAAGACTGGCCAGAACCATCGTTGCCTAAGTGGAACTTCAGTGCATTGACCCGCTCGATTGGGCTTGCACCCAGCCCAGCTGGGTCACTAGTCTCAAATTATGTAAGCCCAGTAGGAAGTCTGATCTAATCGAATGGTGTCTTTCCTGTATGTGTTTGAACAAAACCACTACTGCAATGATATACATACACATTAATAGTCATATACCTGGATAGGTCTACATAATATATGACACTTGTGTGTGTAGCGTCCATGGGCTTTTACCTTTACCAAATTGTTGACATGAGCTGGATTGCCAAGCTGATCCTATTTGATGCCACCGCCTCCCTTGCAACCAGGTGGCAGAAATATGCGCCAGGCCCTGTTCGTGAAGTGCGGGTCACGCCACTTCCGTCGGCACCTGCCCGGGGCAAGGGGTCAGGGCCTTCAGGGAAAGGCCGAGGAAGGGGTCGTGGGCGAGGGAGGCCTCCCAAAAACCCCAAGCCTGTGGTTGTTTCAAATGAGGATGAGCCTTTGGATTCAGAGGAAGTTGTGCCTGTGGCCCCGCGCAAGAAGCGTAAGGTAAATGCTTCCGGTCCAGTGGACCCAGAGAACTTGTCAGCTGGTGTGCTTTTTGATGGGCCTTCTGAGCAGGTCCCGGTGGTATTGCCGTCAGAAGAACATGAAACCAAGCCAGTGCTGCTTCCCCCGAATGGTGGAGGTACAGATGCACCAACAGGGGCAGGTTGTTCTCGTTGCAGGTTTGCAGCCAAGGGTTGCAAGACCTGTTTGAATCCAAATTTCCGACCGAGAGGCCCGAGGGCAATTCCTAAAGCAAAGGCCAAAGCTAAGGCCAAATCCAGGGCAGCACTTCCAAAGGCAAAGGGGCGAGGGCGGGGACGTGGAAGAAAGCCTTCCCGTCGTGCAGCTTAAATGTTGCAGTATATTTTAGGAGGTGGACCTCCAGCCTTTTGTTCATTGAGAGACAGATCTCAATGAGGCGCTCTTTCGGATGCCTGGGGTTTGCTGTGCACGAATCCTAGGGTTGGCCTTGTTCATGAAAACTGTTGTTACAGTATTGATTGTCAATGCTGTTGGTTTGACAGTTTGGGAGAATCAAACCAATTGGTCCTGTGCCACCCTGGGTGTGACAGCTATCAAATGGAGAGCCATGCATTGCTCCCGTATGCAGACTGGGGTGTGGGGAAAGAATTGCATGCGCTAAAGGCATCTCTTTGTTTGCACTGGACATGTTTCTGAATTCTTACCACTAGTAGCCTACTGCTGGAAGCAATAGAAGACAAACCAATAGGAAGTTGAAGAAGCCTACCGAATCCTCAAAAAAGTATCCTGTTTTGGAGTATTTTTTAATGCTGATGCTGCCTTTGGGATTGCTGCTTATTTTCTGTTCATTAGGTTGGTGCTAGTGGGGTGCCAGGTTCCTAGGAGCCTAGCCACTGAGCTGATGGCCCGGAAGTCTTCAAGCTCTTTGATCCTTCCACCTGATGATGTGGGGTCTGAGGCTTGCTTCCTACCACCAGGTGATGCTGGAGACCCAGGCCTTTTTCAGCCACCTCAGGAACCAAAGCCAAGGAATACAAACAAGGTGTCAGTGGCCAAAAAACCAGCTGCGAAGACTGGTGCTAAGGCTAAGCCGGTGTTGAAGCGACCTGCTGCCAAGAATAAGGTTGAACCCAGTGCGCCTGTGTCTACTGAGGGGAACGAGGAGGACACTGCGTTTCCATGGAATGATGAGCGGTTATCAGATGCTGCTGCGAGGTTTGACTCTGTAGCTGTCATGCCATATGAGGACCTTCGTGAGCTACATGCAAACCCACCACAAATCCAGCCACAGCGCTGTTCACTATGGGAGATATACAGCTTACCCCGACTATCACCTATGATGAGAGAGATTGGGGGAAGAAGTTTGCGAAGCTATGACCTGAAGCATTTTGTTGACCTTTCCCAAAAAGACTATGTGCGTTTACTTCTTCAGGATGTCGCCCTGTATAGACCATACTACTTGAGTCTATCACCGCCGTGCACGAAAGTATGCCAGCTACAAGCTAGCAACTGGAAGCGCATGAAGGGGACACGTAAGAAGTACATGGACCTTGAGGAGGCCCTGGGGCACATTGACTTAACTATGTGGCTAGCAACGTTCCAAGATGACACTGGATCCTACTATGGCTTCGAGCACCCCGAGAAAAGTCTAGCATGGAAGCGAGAGTCAGTGACTATGACTAAATGGAATAATACCTAGAATCTTTTGGGCCCTTGTTTCATGACAAATTCTCATGTCTGTCATATGGCCCAGAAGTGTTTCAAAGGCCTCTTTTGACATTTTTCTTTTGGGGGTTCAGGTGACCTGTGACAGTTGTGTTTTTGTTGGTTCCACCCATAGAAGTTGTCTCTCTACCCATGGGTTCTTGCCTTCTAAGGTTCAGAAGCTACTAGAACGTCCAGGAAACCAACTGGCCACCTTCGATCAGTGCCAATTTGGTTTGGTTTCCCCGTCGGGGAAGCCCATGCAGAAAAGAACCAAGTTCATGACAAATTTGGGCCCGCTCTTCAATGCCCTCAATGGGAAGTTCTGTGACCACTCCCACGAGCATGAGCTGATCCAGGGCAGTGAGAATGGTGTCAAGAGATCAGCATGGGCCCAGACATACCCTGATGGATTGGTGAGAACCATCTGCCACCGGGTCTTGGATTCCCAGCGAAGCATTGGGGTCTGACTTGACTTGGATTCCCTGTGGAGCTTAGCCAGTGGGCTGAAAAAATGTTTTGCTGGCACGCTGCGATGTCCTTGGTTATTATCTTAGAGCTTTGGGTAACAAACAACAAGTCAGGTGGCGGGCAGCGTTCATACCACCAATGAGTTGCACGGCCCAACTAGCACTAAATTGAAAAGCAAAAGCTTGAGACTAACTCAAGGTCGACCTGTGATATGGGATGTAATTTAAATAGTAGGTTCAACACTGGACTGGTTGCAAAACCCTATACTATACAATCTCTTGGTCTTGTTTAGTGATCTCACCCCGACGCCACTTGTCCCAGATTTTTGCTTCCCCTTGGCACCTTGCGCACAGGCTGCCAACTGGCCAATGTCGTGACCCCAATC